GAGGCGGGAAAGCCCAGGCCACGCTTGGCCGCTGAGCCTCGGGGCTCCCGATGGCCCCGATATTCCGTGGAGTAGCTGCAGAATCTCAGACTAGTTCTGGACAGTGTGATGTACTTACCCCACTGTGATCTTTTCTTTTAAGATGCAATTCCTAGGACAAAATTGAAACGCCTCAGGTAGCCATGTCTCCAAGTAAGACCAAAGTAAACGTCGAAGTTGTTATGCCCAGGGGATCAGGTTTTACTAATCTGAACCAGGAGGAAGGGGGTGCGACAGCTTTCTATGAATGAGTGTTGCACTGAGTCCAAGGTCAGACGGGGCATCTCAGAACCGGTTTGAGAAAGAGGCTCTGCCCCTGCGTTCCTCCAGGGACACCCCGGGGCGAGGTGCTTGAGCATCCTTAGCTGTTTTGTTGCCACTGGGGAAAGATGGGGTGCCTGGAGGAAAGACACATTTCAGCCCTCGTATAAGGAAGCAGAAGGTCTCCTTAGCCATACATTTAAAACAACAAAACCAAAAGGGACTTTCAGATACCTTTTCTCCTTCTAGCAAGGTATGGTTGACAAAACTGTATCTTTAAAGTGTACAACTTGATGATTTGCTGTACCTAGACATTGGGAAATAATTATCACAGTCAAGTTAATGAACGTATCCATCAGCTCACGTGTGTGTGTGCGTGTGTGTGTGTGTGTGTGTGTGTGTTGAGCACGCTGAAGCACTTTAATGCCCAGGTCTTCAGTGAGATGTTCCTCATCTATAAATAAGATCAAATCATTTTCAAGCGGGGGTCAGCCTTAGTGTCAGCCTAAAAACCTGAAAAAATTTTGTCTCGGTCAGTATCACTGCTGTATTCTTACAGCGCAGTTTTTGGGAAAACTGTTTTCATTTAATTTTTAGAAGGAATTCATAAAGAAAATATTTGTTTTGTGCTCACCTATAAAAAATGAAGCCCACAGTGAACCCACAATTCTTAGCACTGAGCCTACAGACTGGAAGGTCCTAATCCGAGGTGTGCACTGAGGTTGGGGTGTCTTTCTCCGCACAGGCACACGCTGCTGAGCTTCCGAATCTGCGCGCACCCCCAACCCTGACTTGTAAATCTCTGTTGCTTTTAGAGCAGCATTCCCATGATGGGGCGGGGGGGGGCGGTGGGGCGCGGGAGCAGCCTAGAAGATGTGGAGGTTGTCTGCGGATGTGTGGGGGCTGCAGGTGTCTCTCCAAGCGGAGGCGGCCGCGGGGGCCAGGAAGCCAAGACCACAGGGGCAGGGGCTGAGGAGCACATCTGCTCTGCCCCATACTCTGCCAGGTACCGGGAGGGGCGGGCACCCTGCAGAGAGCTAGCCAGGAGATGGTCCTGTGCCCTCACAGTCCCCGCCCCTCATCTGTGTTGTCTCAGTCCCAGTAAGGATTACGTGCCGGCAGATTGGGGAGGACCCCTGCCAGCTCTGTCTGTCTAGCATTCAGCAGGGACTCAGCAAACGCGAGTTCCCTTTTCTCGGTGACCTAGTTGGCTGTTCGAGGGGTGACTTGATGGGATAGGTAATGCTGCTTCTGGTCTATCGATAAGGAAGTCGACTCAGGAGCCTTACCCAGGATCGTGCAGAGGACTGGGGGCAGAGCCGGGATAGAATTCTGGTCCTCTGCACCTCGCTTGTGCTTTTCACCCCCATCCCTGTTTTGGGTGTGAGAACGGCCCAATCAGAGTAGTCACTGTTACTAGACCTCACTGATCAGACACACCCAGAATTCTACCTTTAACAGTTCAGTCCTTGATGACTGTCACTAAGAATAGAGAAGCTGAAACGTAACCACCTGGGCAACTCTTGTGGATACAACGTAAAAACACCTTTACAATCCGTCGTCTTTTAGAATTCCTGCCTCCTGATGCCAAGTAATCGCCACCACCTCCCCCAGGCAGTAGCTCAGCTGCTCTGCCTGAGAAAGGTGACTTTGTCACATTTGAGCACTTCATCGTGGCACCTTAAAAAGTACATTTGCTATCAGAATCCCCCTGAACATTCACTTTTCCAAGTTAATCTTACCAGAAGTGTTCTTAAAATGAATTCTGATTTTCTAAAATGGCAAGATACTTTATTTTTAAAATCTCGTTATTTTAACACTGCATTGTTAGGTGTGATTTTTGACATCCCAGCAAGGCAAAGCTGTAAGCTCACCAGCTGCCATTAACTTATGGTGCATTTTGTGCAGTATATGTGAGCTTAATATAGATTCTGTAGCCCTGGAAGCTGTTATTTTTCAGCACTGCAAAATTATTTTGTCTGAGCATGTGGTGCAAATACCAATATAGAGATTTCAAATAAGTGAGTTTGGGAGTCTCAGTATCATCATCTGCGGTTGTTTAGCTCAGTTCGTAGAGGGCTGGACCCAGACTACCAGGGCCGTGGGTATGATTCTGTCTACTTCCTCTGTCTCGTGAGCTCAGACCACGTCCCTTTTACGTGGCCGTCCTTCACTGTAGACCATGGGGACAGTGTGATCAGGCGGAAGGCAGCGCTGCTCCTGGAGACCGAAGTAGATGCTGCTCACTGAACTGGGAAGCTTTTAAAAAATAATCATAGCTTGAACCCCACCGATTGAGTGGGTCTAGCCATGGGTATTTTTTTAAAGCTCCCGAAACAGCTTAATGTGCGGCCAGGGTTGAGCTCCCCTGGAAAGGAGGAGCACGGAGTTTGGAGTGGTCTGGTTGTATTCCCCAGGGCTCCTTTATGATGTTCACATCCTGGAAGACAGAAAAGCCGCCTTTTGGCTGCACCATGCTGTTGGGCTTTTACTCCATGTCATTAGGCTTTTAGGGCATGCCTTAACAGTGTTGGAATTCCTTCAGTAATGAATCATAAGATTTGGTCGTTTTAAACATGAGGTGAGACATTTTGATAAATCAAGATGCATTTTGATTGGTGCCTTAAGATGCACATCTGTTTTCTTATTTTTTGGAGTTTACCCGGAATGAATGTCTTCTGACGGGTGTTACCAGAAATACACTTGCGTTCGCATGTGTATGTGGATAATGCATGTATCAAAGGAGAATCATTAGTACTTACACATGCTTTGAACTGTTTGAGAAGTAAATTACTTTGTATTATATGTGTCTGTGTGTCTAGCTGGAAGCTTAGTGCCTGTTCCGTGGTTGATCTAACTTTTGCACCAAGATTTATTTGAAGACGAGAGAAACAATGATATTTCAAGAGCCCCCCCAGTCTGGAAGTCCTGGTCACAGACAACTGGCTGGGAGAGGAGGCCCACTTTCACTCCCCTGAGTTGGGCTCTGTATTACAGTGCTCATCCCCCACTGTCCTTCTGGCTCTTCTGTGGTTCTCCCTTGGAACACGTGTGCTTTCCAGGACCATGTTACAACCCTCTTCTTCCTGAAGCTTCCCGCACACAACAAAGTGGCTCCCGTTGGTTTACGGAGTCTTACTCTTTCATTTGTTCCACACAAGCCTGGGTTGGCTTCCAGTGAGCCTTGGGCTGTGCTTTGGTGTTTCTTACCTTGGCAAGGGGACTATCCTCTCATGCAGGACCGGTCTTCCTTTTGGAGACAGAGGGGGCCCTCAGTTGAGACCCACTGAATTGAAAGATTAGCCAGATCAGTGTGGAGGGTAGAGCAGAGAGGGAGGCAAAAAGGGAGGGCCAGAGTGTCCTGTTTTAGCGTCGAGAGACTTTCATCTGTCAGGTGTCAGCTTTTATAACCGGTGTGCATCAGGCCACTGTGGTCACCCACATGCTCGTGTGAGCTGTTTGTGCTCTGAAAGGTCCCCAAGAAAATGAATGGAGCATACAGGGTGGTTCTGCCAAGTTCAGCTTTTTACCCCAGCCAGAGCGCTAGAGATCAGGCCTGAAGGCATTTAAACTGAAGAAGGGAAGAGTTTCAGCCGAGAGAGTTGCCAGAGATGGATGGCGGTTAGTCATGTGTATTGGGCCATGCTGCTTTGTCTCTTGGAACAACGGCAGCGCAGGGGAGGTGAGGTGCGCGGGGCGCCGGCTGGGCCCCCGGCCCCTGAGCTGGGCGCTTGGGGCAGTGACAGGGAAAGGCCCCTGCCCCAGACAGGCTTACCCGCTGGTGGGTAGTAAGACGGGCCGGAGCTTGGATGCGGGTGGGATGGAAGGAGAAAGAGAAGTAAAAAGACGCTGAGTGTAATCTGATGACGCTGCAAAGCACTGTGGAAACATATGGGAGGAGACACATTCGAGACTTCAAACCCCCGGCCTCGGGCAGGACCCTACAAACGGCTCCCCTTGAGAAGGCTTTTCCGTTACTGTGCCTAAAAGTAGGAACTTGCGCTGACGGCTGGGGGACTGACTCCTCTTGTCCCTGAGTCTGGATGATTCCGTTCCCACTGTCATCAGGAAGCTTCCCACAAGCCGGTTCATCCCTCTTCTCTGGCACTCACTGGGTTTTGCTGTATCCCCTGCTCACTTCTGGGCCCTCCTTGGGGTGGGGTGGGGTGGGGGAACTCTGCACCCCACAGGGTAGGGGACGCCCCCCCTTCACGCCCATCCCCAGCACACGCAGCACCTCTGACCTCTTCCCTCGTGTTCTGCTACTTGGCGTGAGACTGCAGAGCTCGTGGTTGGATTTGAGGTTAGAGCTGCAAGTGCCTTGTGGCCAAGCCATCCTAAAATCCTTGGGGTGCCATGCCATTCCGGAGGCTCCCAGGGCTGTTCTGTCCGGGAGGCTCCTCAGCGTGCTCTTAGAAAGCCGCAAGCTTGCTCTGAGAGCGCCCTCAAGTCTCTTAAACCGACGGCTAGTCCTGTGCCTTGTTTGCTAGTTTCAGTACCAACAAGCCATGTGCCACACAGCTGTTAGGACAACAGAAAAGCATCAGGTGAATGGGTGAGACCAGTGGGCCTAGCTTTTCGCCCCGTGACACTGCCGAGAGCGCCCTGGGCGGAGACAGCCGCTGGCTGTGTCCCTGCTGCGAGGCCCGTGATAATGGAGCGCGTCCCCTACATGATCCCCTCGTCTCGCCCCCTCTCAGAGTGCAGAACAGATCGCCGCGCTGTGTAGGGGTTTCGGCGACACGCAGAGCGACGGCATGGAGGGGCCTCGGGGGCCTCGGGACCCACCTCCGCGGCCGCTGGCTCGCCACCTCTCCGATGCAGACCGCCTCCGAAAAGTCATCCAGGAGCTGATGGACACGGAGAAGTCCTACGTGAAGGTAACGGAAGGGGCCCGTGTTCTTCCCTGCTCGGTCTCCCCGGGGGGGGCCAGCTGTGTGTCGGCAGGGCTCCCCGGAACCCCAGCACTCGTGCTTGAGCTGCCTGCTCCTGGAAGCAGCGGATTGCTGCCCAAGGGGCGGGGGGGCGAGAGGGCCCACAAGCCGAGAGGGCTTGGGAGAATCCGTGCTCGGCTCACTGCGTTACCAGGGTAGCTTTTGCTGTGGAAACAGATGTTCTGGTTTGTCACCTGCGCTCTGTGGGAAGGGAGTCTGTAGGGGTTTAGCAGGAGAGCGCTGGAGAGGACTTGAGGGGCTGAGGAACCAGGGAGTGACCTGCTCACAAGCAGCTGCTGGTGCGGCCCCCACACCTGCCTGGTGGCCGTCGCCGCGCGGGCAGGTCCCACGACGGAGCAGCGGGTCATCCCAGGGCCGCTCCCACCCTGGCACAGAGGGGTGCGTGCCCAGACACTTCAGTACCCGAAGAATTCCTTTATGTTTCCGAGGACCCCAGTCAGTAGTTTGAGAAACCTTTCCTGAGGGATGCCGGAGCCCGGGAAGACCGGGTTCTTCTGCTTTCCGTATTTGCTGGAAGCTCACTTGCTCGGCCGGGGCTGACAGCAGCAGCATGGCGCAGGGCAGGGGCTGGGAGTCCCACCAGGCTCGGCCCCGGGTGGCGGCCCGGCCTTCGGGGTGCCCTCCACTCCCACCCACACCCGCGTGTGCACACTCGGCTGTCACCACCTTCCTGCACAAGACAGGTCTCAGCTTCCCCTTTCGTCAGTGTTACTGTCATTTTATCTGGACTTGACGGGCGGCCTACTCACAGGTAGAACTACCCCGAGCTCCTCCTTTTTGGTCCCGAGGGGAGAAAGGAAAGCCGTAGAGTGGACGGTTTACTTCCATATCCCGTTACGTCTTGTCCAGTATCTCCTGTGGGGAGATGACGTGAACACCGGGGAGCCCAGACTGGGCTTCTGGACCGTCCTGTGATCATGATGGCCTTTCCAGAGCAGCTGTGTGCTGTGCGGTGTGAGGCTTCAGAGACCCTCCGGCCCCCTGAGGGAGGCTGGACACGAGCTTTTACCCGCAGAGGCGAGGGCGGAATTCAGACTTCCTACCGCTCTTGTCGGTGTGGTCCTCCCGTACCATTCGGCCACCCGGCACCGGGACGGTGGTTTCACCGAGGTGCTGGCGGAGGACTGAGATGGATGTTCTGGGTGAGCTGGACAGAGAGGACCCTTCGCCCTGCAAGAAACCTGCGCTTTGTTTTCTTAGGGCTGCAGCTGTCCGGCCCCGCGGCTCGGCGCCCACCTGCTCGTGGTGTGTAAGTCCTGAGCAGCCCCCGCCGGCACGAGGAAGGAGGGCAGCCCGTCCCTGGCTCTGACCAAATAACCAGCACCGGGTGCCTCTTGTGACTGACACACACACCATTTATATTTTGTCATTTCTTTTTGTGGCTGACATTTAACACGGGATTTTACCTCTTGTTCATCTAACCTTGATCCCTGCATGCAACTTGGAACTGTCATCATTGGTGTGTTCGCTGAGATACGGTTCAGTAGCTTCTTGCATCTCCCTGCTCTGAAGCAGTCGCCGTGGAAGGTGGTGAGGGAGGGAAGGCCAGGGAGCTTTTCGTTGCGACACAGGAAAAGGCATCACAGGCCTGTCCACTTGTTCCGGGACCTATGCTGGAAGGTTCTGGAAGCTTCGGCTCTTACAAAGCTCTTCAGGTCTAGATTTCTCCCCTGTGAAATGAGGGAGCAAAGTAGTGGACTTTGTAATCCATTACTTCTAGCATTTTCATACTGAAAATTCTTCAGAATAAATAAGAAGAAAAAAACCTTTCCTATTACAAAATTATATCCTGGTCTTGGCTTCAAATTATTAAATCAGCCCTTTATCTAAAGAGTTTTATAAACACCGTCCACTCCCACTATTCCGCACTGCTGGAGCCCGGTTTACTGGAGACTCCAATATGGCCTAGATTATAAACATCATGACTGCTCTTAATCCTTGGACATTTTTTCTTGCATTCGAATACGGGAGCTTGAAATTCTGCTCATGCGTCAACCCCGAAGTTGAGGAGCTTCCCAGATCTTGTCCCGTCCCTCTCAGCTCCACGGTGGGGCTGGGCCATGCTCGCTGAGGCAGAGGAGGAAGCGGGGTGAGCTGGCCGGTGTGGTCACGCCCGACAGATGTGCGCACCAGAACTCACCTTCTCGCAGGGAGATGAATGCTCCCGCTGCATTGGCCACGGAGGGAGCTTGGCTCTGCCACCGGGCTGTCCAAGCAGGATAGGCGACCCGGCTGCTGAGTGCACTGTGCCGTTAGCCTCTGTGAATTAGGTCAGAAATAACAGGAACTGCCTTCAGGGTCATGAATTTCAACCAGACTTGAAATCCATCATTCCCGGTGGGAGTCTGGAGCTGTGGTCAGGGTTGCTGGAAACTCTTGGGTATTTCGGAGACACACGTGATAAAGATTCTCTTCTTCCGTCTTTCAGGATCTGAGCTGCCTCTTTGAATTATACTTGGAGCCACTTCAAAATGAGACCTTTCTCACCCAAGATGAGGTAATCCGTCCCCTTCCCCCTGTCCACTGACACACAGGTTGGTCTGTTTGCCTGTGAGTGGACCTCCCCGGAGGTTCTATCTGCTGATCCCCCAAGAACACCCAGGACTAAAGGGTTGTCGGAGGGACCCAGGCGTGGCCTCCAAAGCCGTTTACGTGGCCTCTGTCACGTGAGGCTCAGTGGCAGGAGTTCACCTGCGCAGGACAGTCAGTGTCCTTTTTGTAGAAGAAAGTGTGGTCAAAAGTTACTCTTTAATTCATGGCTTGTTAATGTTAAATCTCAGTAATTAGCTCTTTGCTGCTGCCTTCCATTTTTCGCCAGTTTGAATCCTGAAAATGTTACATCCATTTATAAGGTTAAGAATTACTAGAACCAGAGCTGTAAAAACTCTGTGCATAAACTGTGTCACGGAGTGAATATGCTGCCTTCTTTGAAGGATTTACTTCTGTCTGCTGCTTTCTGGTGAACAGCTTGGGATTTGCCTGTGTGTCTGGGTGTTAGAGTGGTCTCTGGGTCTTCATTGCTGATACCCTCTTTCCGATCCCGGCCTTCATATAGATGGAGTCCCTTTTTGGAAGTTTGCCAGAGATGCTTGAATTTCAAAAGGTGTTTCTGGAGACTCTGGAGGATGGGATTTCAGCATCCTCAGACTTTAGCAGCCTTGAGACTCCCTCACAGTTCAGAGTAAGTATTTTGGACTTCGGCTTAAGGCAAAAATAAATGGGTAGAGTGCAGAACTCTCCCTTGAGAAAGAAATTGCTGTCCCTTGCCCGTAGACAAGGTAAATTTAGTGCTTTCATTGCGCTGTTTTCCTCTGGCAGGTGGTAAAAGCCGGCCACGTTTGTATCTTGAGTGGTTCTGGTAGTCAGAGTCTGGGTGGCACAACTCGTGTAGAGTCTGCCCGGTGGCTGAGCACGTCCACCACACTGTTTGCTCAGATCTGCTGAATGATATGTAGGGAGTTTGCTCGAAGCAGGAGCACCTACCCTGCATCTAATCTCGCATCTTCATGGTCATGTGACGCTGGGATGAAAAGCATCGGTCAGTGGTTCTTCGATGGAGCCCTGTTTCCAACGTGAGCATCAGTGACTAGTGAGGAGCCCCTCCAGGGAAGGAAAGGTGCAAGACAGTAGAAAGGGGACAGGGCAGGATACAGTCGAGAGCATCTGTCCCAAGTAATGCTTGATTGATTATCCTCCCAGATCGTTCATATCCCACTTTATCAGATGTATTTTTGTCGAACTTTCTTTCTTGTCCTTTGCCCGTGGTGTCAGCTCTGCTGCCAGAAGGCTTTCAGTCAAACTCAAGATCTGCGAGGGGGATGCCAGGCTGTTCTCTGCCTGCTGTGGAAATGGGGCAGTCCTGGCTTTATTTCATTTGGTGATTTCTCTGAGGCCTTAGTGCTCTGGTATCTGAAAGACAGATGGCCGTGGATGCGCCAAAGTAGTCAGATGCCACACCAGACCTCTGATCAAACCTCTAGCGGACCCTGATTAAACCATGTCCAATGTGACTTTTCCTTCCCCTCCTAGAAATTGCTGTTTTCCCTTGGAGGCTCTTTCCTTTATTACGCGGACCATTTTAAACTCTACAGCGGATTCTGTGCTAATCATATTAAAGTACAGAAGGTTCTAGAGCGAGGTAAGTTGCTCATACCTTTATAGCTGTGTTTTTTTTTTTTTAGTTGTTAACAGTAAATTTGCATTTAATAAGTGGGATAAGTACAGTTTTAATGGATCATGCTCTGTTCTTGACCTTTAAATTGACAGGCATTAGAGGAAAAATTCTTAGTTTATTTCAGTTTATTGGTAACAGTGAACACGTGTCCTCAGAGCAGAGATGTTTCTCTGCTTTGTGTCACTCTGCTGTTAAATTACCTCTGGCTTCTTTTTTTTTTTTTCGGCCACACTCCTTGATCTGAAACCCAGGAACCGTACGCTGCTGTTTTCTTCCTTTCTCGCTAACCTCCTTAGGCCCGAGGAAACCCATGGATGCAACCAGCACATTCACAAGCAGGGCGGTAACTAGAGTTAAAGCCGCTTTGACGGAGCCGGGCAAACACTCACACCTAGCGACCCACATCCTGTCCCTGAAGCGCCCTTCGTCTCCACGTTCTTATCATCTTCTTTTATTGGCTTTAACTGAAGCCTTTCGTTTTCTTGACGCCCAGGGAGACCCGTTGGGTGGACCTCCCCCTCTCCGGATGCGAGGCGGCCCCGCGGGGAGTGGGGGGGGCACGGAGCGCCTGGGCTTTCAGTAACGGCCTGTCGGCCCAGCCTGGCGCTGGATTCGGGGGCTTGATGAGAGCCGTGACCTTGTTCAGCTGCCCGCGGGTTGTAGGGAGCTTTGCGACGTGCGGTTCCGTCTGCTTCTGTCACACCCCAGCCAGGAATGCCGCCTCACCGGAAGCGATTCTGTCCCTGAGGCTGCTTTCCGTGGCCACACACCTGAGATGAAAGTTCTCCAATCTGCCGCCCCCAGAAGGCGTTTTTCTGTCCCATTCTTGGGCATTCTCGTCTGTGGTGGCGGGGCCAGGAGCAGGCAAACTCAGGGCCGAGGGCACAGGGCGGCAGGGGTGCGGTGTGCAGGGCGCGGGCTCCGGCGCTGGAAGGCGGCTCAGGGAAATGCACGTGAGCCTCAGGGTCGTCGGAACGTCTCCAGAAACGGTCACCGGGCCGCCCCTGTTCTCTCAGTCGCGCACGGGAACCGGGGAGCGAGACACGAACCTGCCGAAGCTGCCTCTGTTTCTGGCATACAGACGACTTCCCCTGGGACTTGAGCGCCTTCTTTAGAAAGACACAGGGCTTCGTGCCTTCTGTCCCACGATGATTTGCCGGCTCTCCCGAAGCCAGGGAACCTGGGCGCTCTCCTGTGACAGTGGCCGATGTCTGGGGAGAGGTCTCTGTTTGAACTTTTTTAGTTGCATCAACTAAATTCCAAGCCCCTTCCTCTGTTGTCATTATAGGCTCTATCTGAAGGTCACCCTTCAGTGTTTCCCTCTCAGAACCAGGCACAGTCTCTCCACAGGATCGACCCTGGAAGGCGAGTGGAGGTTTACCCCAGCACTCAGAGCCTTCAGCCCATTCCACTGATGCAACTCTGCCATTTGGTTTAAGTCTGGGTATTTACAGTATCGTAGAAGGACAGGCTCAAGGTTAAGAAACGGTCTTGAAGTGCTTCAAGTGAACAAGCCCCAGCCAAAATCTGTCTCCTCTACTTTTGCTTAAACAGAGATGTGACTCCCGTTGGCATTTCCTCTAGGAACACCTTCGTACTGACAGTAAAATTAAAGCACACCAGTGCTTTGCTCAGTTCTGAAGGATCATCTGAGCAGCCACTTTGGTCACATTCAAAATGGTACCACATGTCCTAGAAGTTGTAGGTTTTTGCCTTTGTGACAAAACCCCAAATAAGGGTGTGATTTCATTCAGATTGGCTGAATTCCAAACAGATGGCCGACCAGTGTCAGCAGGTGGCATCCAGAGTAGCCACTGGTAGATGTACCATCGGCACTCTCAACACGAACAGGGTGGGGTCCTGGGTGTCCCCTGGATAACGTCAGACGCTGGACGCAGGTCGCTTTCCCTGCCCGTAGCGGTCCGAAGGTCACATCCGGTGAGCTGGACTGCTCAGAGCTATGGAGGTGAGGACTGCAGTGCTTACCGATTTGTTCTACAAGAAAACAAGATAGCCCCTTGTGCATAGAATAAGTAACAATCTGTGCGAGGACGGTGGGGGAAAATGACTTGTTTAATTTGCTATATGATTCTTTTGCAGGGTAGGTGTAGGGTCTGGATAAGACTGTTTTGTGGCTTTAGGAATTGGTTGAAACTCACTTCTTAGGCACCTCTAACCATCTCTCGGGTTTGCATGTGAATATGCCTATAAAATCAGACATTCCTACATTTCAGCTTGGTGTTCCTCTTTGGTGTGAGGACTGTACTATTTAGACAGCCTCGTAAGTTCCCTCTTTTTATGGGATTTGCACCCCCCCCAACTCTGACGCTGAATCCATGTTGACAGCTGGGTGCCTGACCCACGGAAGCATTTGGGTTTTCATAAAGAATGGCATTAGGATGACTGTAGAAGTGGATGGTCTGTGACTCCATTAAAAACTGAAGGAAATAGGGTGTAATTTCTCCGGCTGTGCTCTTCTAAGGGTCTGTTATCCCCCTGCTTGTAGCTAAAACCGATAAAGCCTTCAAGGCTTTTCTGGATGCCCGGAATCCCACCAAGCAGCATTCCTCCACCCTGGAGTCCTACCTCATCAAGCCGGTTCAGAGGGTGCTCAAGTACCCTCTGCTGCTCAAGGAGCTTGTGTCACTGACAGACCAGGAGAGCGAGGAGCACTACCACCTGACAGGTAAGAAAACAGGCTGCGGACAGACTGTGACTGCAGCCACCCGCTGAGCCTGCCAGGCCCCTCTTCTCTTCCCGGCTTCGTTTCAAATTCTCAGACCTGCCTCAGGACTACGTTCTTAAGCTTAGATATCATTTTAGTATGTGCAAAGAGCTACTGGGTATATGGCCATTCCTCCAGATGGACAGAATACTTGGGCAAAATTATGTCCTCGGAGGAGCCCCAAACCCCTCTGGTGGGGTGATTCCATTTTCGTTTTTCAAAGAACGTATTTGAGCTCAGAGAGATGAAATCCGTTACTTTGGGTCTCTTCGGTTAGCAAAACAGTGCTGCTGGAACCGAAAATGGGGCCTATTTTCCTGCCACCTTGTGAGGTTGTGTGTTGCGCGCTGCCCAGTGCTGCTGATCGAATCCATTGGGTGAGGCTCCACCTTGTGGGGACTTGAGGGCAGAGCCCAGCTCCACAACCCAGCTCCCAGTGACAGGTTCTGCTTTACAGTCCAGGCTGATGTGTCTTCTTTTGCAACCCCAGAAATTATGGGCCTAAGATACAATTTGTCAAATACACAGAGCCCCTCAGTTTGAGATGAAGAAGAGTATCCCCTAAAGGGATGCTGTGTTTGCATCAGAGATACAGTGATTTGTTCTCTGCATGTGAAAACTAGGTGGTCTACCTGTAATAAAATACCTGGGTAGAGTAACAAATTTATTAATAAGTATTAGTAGTACTGAATAATAAACACTGAAAAGAGTTTCAGTTAAACTGGCTCTTGTTTCTATGACAAGCATACTTTTGTATCATAAGTAACAAAGACAAAATTTTTTTTTACATGGAAGTTAAATTCTACAAGTACATGATACAAATTATGATTAGTATTCAAATAATGTGAAAAGATCCTTTTTCCTCAAGATGATGATGTTTAAATGGATATATTTAAAATTGCCTTCCAAACTTGCCTCCAAACTGAATTAAAATACTGAATCAGGAGAACAAAATAACGAAAAATACTAAATTTATAGGTAACCTGAAATTTTGCTTTTTGACTTTTACAGAATCATTTTGTCCCTCACATGCCCAAGTAGAAAGTTATAAATAAGCACCGTGTATAAATACCACCAGTTGCTGTGGTCATTAGGGGCATTTACAGAGACATTAGTAGGTTCTTGCTAACAAACTGTTGTTCACGGTTCCAGTCTTTGGCCCGGGAGGAGAGGCAGAATTTAAGGGCAGGTATCCGATAGCCATTCAGTCTTGGGTTTCAGTTTTGGCTCTACTTATTTCTCTCTTTAGAAGTCTGGCACAATACTTAATCCCTCTGCACCTCAGTTTCCTCATCTGTGAAATGGGATTGATTACAGCTCCTACAGTCATTGAGTTACTGTGGGGATGAAATGAGATGATTAAAATAAACCACCCATTATAGTACCTGCCAAATAGAAGGTGCTCGATCAGCGTTAGCTGTTCTTATTAGTGATATTTTTACCTGTGTTTTGCCTCATTTCAAAGAGACCTGGAGGTGGGAGATTGTCCTATTGTTCTTCATTATAATGACTGGATTGCAGTGGGCTGCGTGAGCCATGCCTGAGTAACGCTTCGGTTAGTAAGAACTGGTCTTGAATCTGGCTTGAATCTTGAGCTTTTTCATTACGGCTTTTGGTAGGACTTAAACAAAATTTATAAAATAATGATTTTATATTTTTCAGAGGCACTAAAGGCAATGGAAAAAGTAGCCAGCCACATCAATGAGATGCAAAAGATCTACGAGGATTACGGGACCGTGTTCGACCAGCTGGTGGCAGAGCAGAGTGGAACAGAGAAGGAGGTCAGTGGCATTGCTGGATTCCGAGAGGCTTAAGTGCATTTGTTCACTGCGTCCGTCCATAGGCGATCTCCAAACGAGGCCACCGTGTTCGGGCTCTCCTAGACGAGAATATGCCTAAAATTTTTTTTGATCTTAACGCTTGCAGTAAACCAAACCATTTAAGTATAAACGGAACATAAAATTCATTATACTGGTTTAAGAATGTAACCTTATGTCACCTTAACGTTGTGCAAAAAGAAAACAAGAAATATCACTAAGCTTATGTCCCTACCCCCCACTCCCTTTCCATGGGGCGTGAGGCCAGACTCGGCCCAGAGGTGGGCGCGTACCTGGAAAGCGCGAGCTGACGGGAGGATGAATACAGGAAGTGGGGTCAGCAGGTAGAAAGAACCGGATATCTGACATCGGCGCCTACCTCCTTACTTACAGAACTAGTTTAAGTGGAATTTGACAATTTCTGTTTTTTTCTTTTCTGGTTAATTACTAAATTAGAATCTTGAGCTTTTCAAGTCTACATGTAAGAAAACGTAGTTTCAGTAGAGAAAGGCAAGAACAGAAAACAACTGGAGTTTAATTTTTTGTGACAGTTTCAGTGTTGGTACTTTTATCTTTGCAGGCCCCGTGTAGTTTATGGATCGGGGTGGTGACACTTTGGATGGACCTCAATGTCCATTTACATATAATGTGTGCACTGAACCAAAATGCCTTTCTACTTATGTTGTTTTTCAAAGTTCGATGCTTTGCTCATATTTTCAAAATCTATACTATTTAAAGGCCCCATGTTTATGGGGGCCGTAAGAATCACATTGAATGTACTTGGAATCCCCACATATACATATGTGATTCACTGTCCAACATGAGACAACCTACCCCTGGGGTCTCCCTGTCTTCATCTCCCGTTTTTATGATACAGGTAACAGAACTTTCCATGGGGGAGCTTCTGATGCACTCTGCAGTTTCCTGGTTGAATCCATTTCTGTCTCTAGGAAAAGCCAGAAAGGACCTTGAACTCACGGTGTTTGGTTAGTATCCCATTTGAAAGAATGTAAACTTAAAAAAGGCTGGTGAAAATGAAGATCTTTCTAGACCCACCAGTCCAGCTAACTCTGATTTTCAGAAGGAGCCGGAATCATTGCTGTAATGGCTTTTGACTTAACAGAGCCAGCCTCCGACTATTTAAGATGCTGTCGCTCCGCATACTCATTATCTTGTTCTCCCTTCTGCTGGGCTTACTGGTTCTGGCCAAGTGTTACAGGAACAGATCTCCTGAGGCTATTTTGAAACCTGCTATCTTAATTGTTTGCTGCATTTCCAAAATGTCTTAATTCTCACTAAGACCGATTATAGACAGTGTATTCTCACCAAGATGAACACCATGTCCTCAGATTTCGATAAAACAAAACAGGGATTTTTAAAAAAAATCGCCAAGATCTACTTCAGATGATTGCTTTTAAATAAGTAGGTATTTCTGCATCATTGAAATATCAGAGGAGAGCACCATTTATTCACTCCTGTGCTGGTTTAGTGGGATCTTGGAGCTTCGTAAGTTTGAAGAGCTTTGTTCTATTAAAACATTCTAAGCCATAGTCCAACCTTGGAAGAAAGTTTGTACAAAATAATGAAAGACTTTTCTTTTTCTTTTCCTTTCTTTAGTTTTTAAGAGAGCTGTCATACTGGTTTATAAAGAAAACTGCAAACTGAAAAAGAAATTGGTAAGACAAGAAGTACATTTAATTAAAGCTACCTTTTCATGGCTCTGTCCTCCTGTCAGTGTTGGTCTGAGAAGCCCGCTCAGAACCAAGGCCTCACTGGACTAATGGGACTTATTCCTGGGGTGACTAAGCAAACCAGATACTCAGGCTATTATTCTCCCCACAAACAATGTCTGTTTTAAAAGAAGATCTACATCTATAAATTCCCGTGCTGGGGCCTACACACAAAATCAGCTTCCATATCCCTGAAAATGGCCCATGTTTGCTCCATACACGAGAGACCACGTAACTTTGGTTTGTTTTCAAATGACTTTTTCCTTAGTTCAAAAAAAAAAAAAAAAGAAGAAAAAGCTTAGCTGTGGATACCATAAGCCATCAGAGTTATTACTGTTTAGAGGTAATGAGGACACAGAAGGCTTGGTTGTCATTCTTGCTTGGTGTCTAGCAGTCTGTGCTCCCCAGACCACGGCTCTGCCCCAACGCGCCCCCCCTCCCCCGCCCCGAGATCTCTGAGAACTGGGACCACTCACACAGATGCAAGGAGCCTCGCACACAGGGAAAACTTCCAAGTTTCCGTTCCCTGCACATCTCCTCTCTGGGTGAGAGCTTGCTCTAACGCTTTTCTTGGGGGGCTTTCCTGTTACAGCCCTCAAATTCCCGGCCTGCACACGGCTCTGCCGACTTGGACCCATTTAAATTTCGCTGGTTGATCCCCATATCCGCACTTCAAGTCAGACTGGGGAATACAGCAGGTAATTGTTTCGTGTGGTATGATGCCAGGAAAAAGCATTTTTTTTTTTTTTTAAAGGTTTTATATATTTGTCAGAGCACAAGCAGGGGGAGTGGCAGGCAGAGGGAAAGCAGAGGGAGAAGTGGGCTCCCTGCCCAGGAAGGAGCCTGATTCGGGGCTCAGTCCCAGGACCCTGAGATCGTGACCCGAGCCGAAGGCAGACACTTAACTGAGCCACCCAGGCGTCCCCAGGAAAAAGCATTTTAATGGGACTTATTTGCATTGTGGAATGAAAAACTAGGAAAGAACCTTCAGAATAATTTCTGAATTTTATTTTACAGGCAAAGAAAATAAGGACAAAAGAGGTTGTTTTGGTTTTTTTTTTTTACAGACTTTTAGAGAAAGTAAACGCCAAATTTGCCTTTTCTTTGTCAAATACCTCTCTTCATTGTTTCCTTATTTTCACTATCAATGGTTTTCAGCATTTTTCCTGCCTAGTATCCTTGATACCCTAAAATATGTTAAAAAAAAGGACCGCAAACTTAAATTTAAAAATTGATATATCAGAAAATTCCTTAAGATTCTTAAAGCAGTATTATATGTGATATTAGAAAAACCAACTTTTCCACCTTGGAAAATGTTCAGAGGTCCTTCTAGAATAACCATGTTCTGATGACAGTGCCTCCGGTGACAGGAAGGACCAATAGTCTAAGCCATGCAGTGATGCTCTGGGTCCCTGTTCAGTTTTGTTTTGAAGTGCTTACATTTCCTAAAAGGGGACTGACTTTGGGCTGGCCTGTTTTACCTCAAGTACCTGAGCACATCCTACTGTTCCTTCCCAAGAATACAATGAATGGAATGGGGTTGACAAACAGGATCCATTTAACCTCTTTCCTGGAGAGATGGGATCCAGGGCTAGGGAAGAAAGCATACTGAGGTGGATGGAAAACTACCAGGAAATGTAAAAAGTAACTAAAAAGTATTTAACTTTTGATAACTATTTGTGAAAGTCATACATAGAATGAGGCACAGAAGAAAATGATGAGACTCAGGACAGGAAATATTTGACGTGAGTTTCGAACTTCACATCTTTGGCGAAGTTGTAGACCCTTGTTTCCTTTTATACAGGGACAGAAAATAATTCCGTCTGGGAACTGATCCATACGAAGTCGGAAATAGAAGGACGGCCGGAAACCATCTTCCAGCTGTGCTGCAGGTATTACGGACTTCCAAAAATTAAAATCAATGGGAAAAAGACAGAATTGTGCTCTCTTAAAAATGGGAGTTTATTTTTAGTGCTCTCCTGAATTTTGATGACTTCAGGATCACACCCAGCCTCCCCCAAATGGCAACTGTGTCTGTAGCAGAATACATTGATTAAATATGTATCCAAATCTTAGCGCTCAAAGGCCCTTCAAAAATGATCACTTCTTTTGTAAAGTGGAGACCAAGGTACACAGAAGCTTGGTGACTCATTGTCAGTCTGTCCTGAGAGCAGTAATAGGACACTTAAGGACCAGGGGACGTGGACACAAAGCACGAGGACACTCGACATGACTGTTTTCTCTTCTCCCCTCACCAGTGACAGTGAGAGCAAAACCAACATCGTCAAGGTGATTCGATCTATTCTGAGGGAGAACTTCAGGCGTCACATCAAGTGTGAATTACCCCTGGAGAAGACCTGTAAGGATCGCCTGGTACCCCTTAAGAACCGAGTTCCTGTTTCAGCCAAGTTAGGTGAGAATTTTGCTGGCCTTGTGTTTATTCAGGAAAACACAAACTTCTCTGTAAGGATATATGTTTTTGTAATACAGCAGTGAGTCATCACTTTGTAAAGTACCAGGGGGAGCTCTGTAAGCTCTGAACCAGACACCCGAGTACACGGAGTGGTGTGTGAAGGTGGTGGCAATTTTATTTCCTTTTAAGAAACTTAAGGGGCACCTGGGTGGCTCAGTTGGGTAAGTGTCTGTCTTTAGCTCAGGTCATGATCCCGGGGCCCTGGGATTGAGCCCCGCGTCGGGCTCCCTGCTCTGCGGGGAGCCTGCTTCTCCCTTGCCCTCAGCTGCTCCCCCTACTTGTGCTCTCTCCCTCTCTCA